GGTATGGAAAGCGTAAATAAGAATTTGAAAACTAAATATAAGATCGTAGATCTGAACACGCAACATGTGAATAAAAAACAGAGAATAACAAAAGCTCATAAGAAAATGATTGGTTGAATTAAATTTTGGAGGAGCTTTTTGAATGATTGATTTGTATAAAATTTTGATTGTTTCATGTGTTATTAGCTCAGATGTATACTTCACAATGAAAAAAATTCATAATCTCTATTGTAATTATATTAGTTTTTGTGGATAGTTGGATATTTTTTCTAATCTCTATTGTAGTTAATTGAGAATGAAAGTAAGATCCTATTTGAAATAGGAAATTAAATCCACAAAAATTTAGAAATTAAATCTACAAAAATTTAGAAATTAATTGGAATTATGAACTAATGATATAGGAAAATCATGTCTTATTTTTCAATTATTATCAACAAAAACAAAATTAACTTAATTCTAAATATTGACGTGGAACGTTATTATTGGTTGATTTAAATTCTATGTGGAAAGTTTTAGGAGCTAATAGCCTCAACTTTTACATAGTATAGACTAGATAAAAGACCCGCATATATGCGGATTTGTGATTTAATCTTTGATAAATATATAGAAAATAAAATATTTAATTATGGTGAACAAAATTAGATGGTGAACAAAATTAAATCACCCGTTAACATAAATAAAATCAAAGTAAGAATGTTACTGCAAAGGCATTGATCGAGAATCATATCATTTATTTCTTAATTTTTATGTTTATGTTTTTTGATTTATAATTAAAATTTATCATATCTTTTGAAATTATTAGTTTTTCTTAATCCTATTTGAATTTGGTAATTTTTTATTTTTAATCTTATTTTACTATTCAAATATCTACTTTTGAAAATATTGATGGATTATTTCCCATAAATATATTTGAACTATATCTATTCTTCAATATTTTGTAGCTTACAAAAATCAAAGACGAAAACACAAAAAGCAAAATTAGATCACTCTATTTAAATAATAAAATAAAATTGAAATCGTTATTAGAAAATCATTTATATAGAAGTTTATCAAATATTTATCTATTGTATTCTTATAGTTTATTTTTTATATTGTTTGATTTCCAACTAAATTTATCATATATATTCAAATAGTTAAATATTTCTAATCCTATTTAAAGTAGGATTATATTTTACTATTTATCAAATCAAGATATTATTATTTTTAAATAGATTATTGAAATGTGGCTAAATCTAATTAAAAACAGTATTTTATCTTATTATATAAAGCTTGATGCGTGTC